GGTGCTGGATGGGTGCCGGTCCTGCCAGCCTCCCTGTCCTGTGCCTGCAGGTGCCCTTCGCGGTGGTGCTGTGCCAACACCTGCCCGGGGGCACGGACTGCGAGCAGCTGGTGGGATCCTCGGCCGTGTACCGGGTCTGCTTTGGCACCGCCTGCTTCCACCTGGCGCAGGCCGCCCTGCTGCTCAACGTGCGCTCCAGCGCCGGCTGCCGTGCGCGGCTCCACAACGGGTACGTGGCACAGAGCAGGGGCTGGGTGCTGCCGGGCTCCCCGTGTCCCTGACGCTCACTGCCTGCAGGTTCTGGCTGCTGAAGATGCTGGTGCTGCTGGGGCTCTGTGCCGCCAGCTTCTTCATCCCTGAGGACGGCTTCATCCAAGGTGCGTCCCGCGCTGCACCCAAGCCAACAGCCCATGCCCTGCGCTGGGCCCTGTGCTAGCCCAGCTCTGCCCTCTGCCCCCAGCCTGGCACTACACCGGCGTCTGCGGGGGTTTTGCCTTCATCCTCATCCAGCTGGTGCTGATCACCGCCTTCGCGCACACCTGGAACAAGAACTGGTGAGTGCCGGGCGCTGGGCGGGCACAGGACCACTGCCCCCTCTCACCCACTGTCCCACAGGCTGACGGGCGCTGCGCAGGACAAGCGCTGGTACCTGGCCGTGCTGCTGGCCACGGCCGCCTTCTACACCCTCGCCTCCGCGGCCTTCTCCTTCCTCTACAAGTACTACACGCACCCGGCTGCCTGCCACCTCAACAAGGCGCTGCTCACTGTCAACGGCAGCCTCTGTGGTATCATGTCCTTCATCTCCATCACGCCCTGCGTGCGGCTCAGTGAGTATGGCATGGCACAGCACTGGCGTGGCGTGGCATGGCAGGCCTGGCCGCACCCTGTGCCTGTGGGGGTGGCCGTGGGCTCCCAGCTCAGGGCCAGCACTTGGGCACCTGGGGACAACACAGCTCCCCTCGTGCGCCTTGATGCAGGGGCTCCCGGGGTCCACGTGGAGCCCATCCAGCAGCTCATGGCACTCCGGTGACACCCTGACCCCACCCTTGCAGAGCAGCCACGTTCAGGGCTGCTGCAGTCCTCAATCATCAGCTGCTACGTGATGTACCTCACCTTCTCCGCACTGTCCAGCCGACCCCCGGAGAGAGGTGGGTGCTCCTGCCTGCTGCGGCAGCCCGGTGCTGGGCGAGCGCCCGTCCCACTTCTGCCTCTCCGCAGTGCTCTACAAGGGGCAGAACCTCACAGTCTGCTTCCCGGGCCTGCAGCAGGATGAGCTGCAGACGGAGGACACCACAGTTGCCATCCTGGGGACTGCCATCATGTATGCCTGTGTGCTCTTTGCATGGTGCGTGTGCCCACGGGGCGCTCAGAACAGGCACAGGTCTCCTGCAGCTGTGTCTGATCCATGGGGCAGGCTGGGGGCCTGGCACAGGGTGGTGAGTGCCTGTGTTATGATTTCTGCCTATCTCCTGGGCACAGTAATGAAGCCTCCTACCTCGCTGAGGTCTTCGGACCCCTCTGGATGGTCAAAGTCTACAGCTTTGAGTTTAAAGTGAGTAAAGTGGGATGCTGCCCCCCAGCTGTGCCCTGTGTCCTCCGGCCGCCCCAAGCCCCCGTCACAGCCCTGGGCCAGGTTTGTCCAGCCAAGCACAGGGGTGCCCATGGTGCACCCCTGCCTGCACCAGCACCTCACCAGCAGCCCCAGTGCCAGGCAGGGCCGATCCAGCAGCAGGGCTCAGCAGCAGTGGCCACCACACTGCTCTCTCTGCAGAAACCCTCCTGTTGCTTCTGCTGCCCTGAGAAGATGGAGGAGGAGCTGAGAGGTGGGTGCAGGGGGTTGCTGGTGGGAGGGCAGAGCCTGCTGCAAGGGGCTGCAGGAGCCACCGTGGCCTGGTGCTCTCCCAGGCACCGAGCAGATGGGTGAGCAAGCAGAGGAGCCTGCCAGGGAACAGTGCATCATCCAGGATGAGAGAGACAAGGTGGTCTACAGCTACTCAGCCTTCCACTTCGTCTTCTTCCTCGCCTCGCTCTACGTCATGATGACCCTCACCAACTGGTTCAGGTACAGCTCCCTGCTCCTGCCCAACTCTTCTTGCTCTTGCTCCCCTTCCCTCTTGCTCATGCAGCCCTGCCAGCACTGTCACCCCCAGCATCATCACCCTGCAGTGCCATCACCCTGCCAGCTCTGACCCGTACCCATACGGGCTCAGGCTCCAATGGTTCACTCCTCACGGTCCCTCTGCTCCGGGTCGTGCCGTCACTGAGCCGGTGCCCGCTGGGAAGCACCCAGCTCTGCACCCACAGACCAGCACCACTTCAAACAACAGCAGCTGTGCGCTGCAGGGAGTCGGGCTGGGGTCTGCGGGGCCAGGGGGTCTCCAGGCAGGTGGGACATGCCCAGGGCCATGTGCCTGCAGGGACACAGGGTGACCCACTGGCTGCAGTGGCACTGGGAGCCCCGTGTCGGTGTCCATCGGGCGCCCAACGCCTGCGCTGTCCCACCAGCTACGAGAATGTGGTGCTGGAGACCACCTTCACGCATGGCAGCTGGTCGACCTTCTGGGTGAAGGTGTCCTCGTGCTGGGCCTGCGTCCTGCTCTACCTGTGGCTGCTGCTGAGCCCCTTCTGCCTCCGCAGCCCCCCCCAGCAGCGGCGCAGCAGCCCGACCATGCGCATCCTGCGGCGACGCCGTGCTCCACAGCGCATCAGCGTCTCCACGTAGCCCCTGCTGGGATGGACTGTGCCCAGCCCCGGGGTCCCTGCTGTGCCCCGTGCCTGGGCCCCCCTGGCCCAGGAGACGGCAGCATCTGGGAGCCCAAGGGGACACGGGAATTGGCTGCTCCCAGGGACACAGGTCCTGTGCTGCACTGGCCCAAGCGAGCTGGTGGTGGGTGCTCAGCCTGGGCGCTACTGGGCTCCCTCTGGGCAGGGGCAGCTCCTGCTGCGCCAACTGCCCTGACCTGGGGCTCTGCCCCAGCCAGCGCCCCGTCCCTGCTCCCCCACCAGCAGCGTGCTCGTTGTATATAGCTCATTGAGTACATTTTGATATAAAACTGAGCTGAGTCTGTGCCATCTGTCCCCCCCAGCACCAGCTCTGCCCATGCAGCAACAGCAGCCAAGGCCCTTTTAGGGCAGTTCTACTGGAGGGGGGCACAATCCAGGGTGTGGCTGAGCTGGGAGCACTGGGGGTACTGGTTCAGGTACCAGAATGAGGTGGGGCACTGGGGGAGCCCAGCCAGAAGGTGCGGTACTGGCTCCAGGCCCATGTGGCAAATACAGTGGGGTGGTTCCATGGGAACCAGTATCACCCAGTGAGCCCTGCACTGGAGGCTGGTGCAGGATGGGCACTAACACCTGTAGCCAGGGCTCACACCAGCCCTGAGCCCACTGGCCTGCAGTAGCCAGCAGATACAGTCCCACAGGAGGTGAGGACATCACCTGGGGAGGCAATGCTTAGGTCCAGTCTGGTGCAGACACCATGGGGTCCACAACTGGAGCAGTGGGTTCTGCCACTTGTACCCTGCCCAGGAGGTGCTGGGACCCACATGGGGCTCAGGGACAGATGCCAGTCAGGGAGACCCATGTGGCCCCTGTGCCAGCCAAGGGGACACATCCCCAGGGGCTGCTTTGTCCCTGCAAGGAGCATCAGGCCCTGCAGAGATGGCTGAGAACCCACAGCCCCTCGCTACCTACGTGGAGGGTACTGGCCACAAATGCACAGGGAGTGCGGAGGCAGCCTCAGCTGCAGCCACCCCCACCTGAGCACTGCCCTCAGCACAGGACTGGGGGGCGGCTCCTCGCACCACCCACTCCAGACACAGCGCCTGGGAGGATGGAGGCTTGGGCTGCAGTGGCACCAGCGTGGACACAGCCTCCTCGCTCGGCAGCACAGGACTCCCAGGGCAGCCAGGCGAGGGAACTGCACCTGGGCTGGGGACAGGGACACAGCTCTGCTTCCTGGCAGCTCCTGCTCTTGGGCTCCTCACACAGCATCTGTCACCCAGCAGGGCCCCAAGAGGTGAGGCAGAGACCCTGCAGCTCTGTCAGCCGCTTCAGCAGGAGGAAGCTTCCTGCCCTTGCACCAGAGCAAACCGGTAACTCCCCATCCGGTGCAAAGAGCCAGGCTGCGGGGCAGGGGCACCCCATCACCACTTGTCCCATCAGGGGTGCAGGAAGAAGGGGAAACCCACACTGCCCTGTCCCATGGTGCTGGCAGGGGACTGGGGCACCGGCAGTTCAGCTCCCTGCTGCACCTCTGCGAGAACCAGGTCAGAGGAGACATCCTGAGAGCACCCTCAGCATCTGCCCCCAGCACCCTCAAGCTCCAGCCAATGCAGAGGCACAGGAGCAGCTTCTGGGTGTCCCTCCTGGCAGGGATGGGCTTCCAGATAAAGCAGCTGCGAGTGGATGGGGAGCAAACTTCATTTGCTGCTGCTCCTCACCCTGCAGGGAAGCAAAGAGGATAGTGGAGCAGAGCAAGGTCCACAGCACTGCACTGGACCTCAGCATCCCCCCCCGAGGCAGCTCCACACTGCAGCTGCACAGGAGACGCGCTGGCTGCTTTGTACCCCCTCATGGACAATCCCTGCTCCGACTGTGCCTGCAGAGGTCTGTGGAGCAGGCAGCTCTCCCTGTGCCAGGCTCAGCTGCCACCTCCCTGGGCCCAGCCCCACATCACCCTGCTCCTCTTTCCCCACCACAGCACATCCTCTGCAGCACAATCCTGCCCTGCCTCCATTCCCCCACCTCCCTCTACCCCCACACACCGGCTGCTCTGCCCCCACCCCCCGGGGGATGCCCGGAGCTCTCCCAGGCTGGGCCCGGCCCCATCTTTGTTCCTCACCACGAAGATGCAGCTGCTCCGCGCCACAGGGGCCGCGCCTGGTCCATCCCCGCTCCTCACCAGCGCGAACGCTCCCTCCGGGTGGGGGGGGGCAGCACCGGTGCCCTCTCCCGCTCCCAGCCCCCCCGCCCGGACACACGGAGGGAGGAAACGGGACCTGCAGGGCTCCACGAGCTACTTTAATAGGAGGCAGGCCCAAGGTGGGCGCAGGGAGCTGCCGGGGCGGCGCGGCCCCGGGGCTGCGCTGGGCATCCTGCCGGCTGGCGGCCCGGCCGCGCACTACTTGGCGCCCTCCTTCTTCTCGTCGGCCTTCTTCTGCTTCTGCTGCATGATCTCCGAGTCCCTGCGGGAGAGCACGTTGCGGGGCTGGCAGCGGTACCGGCACCACCCGCGGGAAGGGGCCGGGGTACCGGGTAGGGAGGGTGCGGCGCGGCCGGCCCGGCGCTCACCTCTGCTTGCGGGCGGCGGCCGAGAGCCCGTCGTCCCGCCGCTTGCCCTTGCCCGAGTCGCTCTGCTTCTTCAGGTTCTTCTGCCGCGCCAGTTCGCGCTGGTTCCCGCCTGCGACGGCGCGGCCGCCTCAGCGCGGCCCGGCCCGGCCCCAGGGCCTACCGCCGGCCCCACGGCCCAGCCCGCGCCCCGGCCCCGCGCCCGGGCCACGGTACCGCCCTCCCCCTTGTCCCCCCGGGGGTCCCGGCCCGGCCCGGCCCGCACTCACGGGTCATGGCTCCGCTGCCTCCCGCCCTCCGCTCCGCCGCCACGTCCCGCACCGACCCCCCCCGCGCCCCACCCCGCTCCCCTCTTTAAAGGCGCGGCACTGCCAATAGCCGCGCTGAGCCCGCCCCCGCCTCCGTCCTATTGGCGGGGGACTCCAGCCAGGCCCCGCCTGATTGGCCGCGGGCTACGGCTGCCAGTCCGCCGTCGGGGGCGAAAAAGCCGGAAGCTGGAGCGCAGGCGCTGGAGCCGCGCCCACGCGGCAGTGGGCGGGGCATGAGGGGACACGCTCCGTCGTGGCGCAGGGAGGGGGCGTGGCCTCGGGAGCCGATCCGGGCGGAGCGGGGCGGGCTCTGTCCTGTCCTGTCCGCTCCGCTCTTCCCCTCCCCTCCCGCTCCGCCGCCCCCGTTCTCCACCGCCGTCTCTCTTCCACTCCCGGCGGGGCGGCTCCTCTGGGCGGGCTCTGCTCAGGCTGCTCCTTCCGCCGTGGGCGGTGCCGGGTCTCTGCGGGGAGACACAGCCGTGAGCGCCATCGCGCCAGGTGGGACACCGGCCCCGACCCCGCCGCAGGCAGCCCGGTCCGACGGCGCGACCACGCACCCGGAACTCGGCGGCGGCATCGGGCCGTGGGGCGGCTCCTGCGGGGCAGCGGGGGCGCTCCGGCGCTTCACCAGCCGCGACAGCTCGGCGTGGACGACCTGCGGGCGGCGGGGCGGCTGCGGCGGGCGGGGCTGCGGCGGGACCCCCGGCGGTCCCGGTGCGGCCCCGAGCCGCGCTCCCCGCCCCGACAGACCTCGCTGGCGGGGTCCAGCTCCAGGGCTCTCCTCAGGACAAGCGCGGCCTCCGCGTCCCGGCCCTGCTGCGCCAGCAGCTGCGAGGAGAGGAGCGGACGGTAGCGGGCGGCCAGGCAGGGGCTCGACGCGGGGCTGCCCGGGGCCCACCTGCCCTCGCCGGAGCAGCGCCCGGCCGTTGTCCGGGCTGATGCTCAGCGCCGCCTCGCAGGCCGCCAGCGCCTCCTCCACCCGCTGCAGTTTCATCTCCGCGGCCGCGCAGTTGTTGAAGCACTTGACGCGCTGTTCCCGCAGCTCCTCTTCCTCCTGCGGCCCGGGAGGGGCTGCGCAGAGAGAGCGGGCTCACCCCCCCCGCGGCCGCGCACCCCCGGTTTACACCCCCCTTTCCGCCTGGTCTCACCGGCGGCGGGGCCGTCCAGGGCGCTCAGCGCCAGTCGGTAGGAGCGCAGCGCGGCCGAGAAGTCGCCCCGCGCGAAGTGGAAGTTGCCCCGTTCCCTCCGCTGTGCTCCCAGGCGCAGGCGGGCAGCGGGTGGCAGCGGCTGCGGGTCGAGGGCTTCCCGCACCTCCAGCAGTGTCACCTCGAACAGCAGCGGCGCCTCGGGCGGCACGTCGGGCTCCCTGCGGGTACAGCGCCGGCTGCCCGTGCCCAGCCCCTACTCGCCCCGATCCTACCGCCCTTCCCGTACCGCTGCCTGCCCCGGCTCTGTCTGCCGGGTCCCCCTGCCACTGCCCGTCCTACCTGCCGGGGCGGCCGTAGCCGTAGGGGAAGGCGGCGAGGAAGAAGGCAACTTCCCCGGGCTGCATGGTGAGGACGCCCAGCTCTAGGGCCTGCGGACGCAGACACAGCAGAGCTGGCCGGGCGCGCCACGGGGCAGCGCTCGGCCCGCACCGTGCCCTGGCCGGGGCTGACCTGCACGACGTCGCCGTAGCCAGGCACGAAGGTGAGCCGCGGGTCCCGCTCCACCAGCCCTCCGTCCTCCAGCGCTCCCAGCACTTTCACCGACACCTCCTGCCCTGGCCGCGGCCGCAGCCCGTCCTGCCCATCCCTCACCACTCGTTTCCGCAGCAGCCGGTCCTCTGCGGGCAGCGGCGGTGGCCCTGAGACCCATCCCGGGACTCCCCGGCCCGGCCCCCCCGGCCCGGCTCTCCCCGGGTCCCCGGGCGCTTACCCGTCAAGTCGCTCCAGCCGTCGGCCGCGAAGAGCGGCCCGAAGCCGCCGGGGCCAGGAGCCGCCAAAGCCTCCAGCCGCCGGTAGAAAACCTGCTCCTCCTCGCGCACCGACGGCAGCGCGATGGCGGTGGGGGGCAGCCGGAACCGCACCCGCCTTCCCCGGCCGGGCCCCCGCTGCCGCCCGCCGGTCCCCACCTCCCTCTCCGGGGAGCCACCGGGAGAGGGTCCCGGCATCCCTGCCCTCCGATCCGCCCACCTCTACCAGCCGGCCTCGGGCCGTGCCGCCCCAGGGCTCGGCGGCCGGTGCCTGTGGCCCTCAGCCCCCACCGGCTGCGTCGCCGCCGGCCCCGTCACACGGCGAATGCACGGGGCCGCCCAGGCCGGGGCCGCCGCCGGGCGCATCCCTCCTCGGAATTACTTAACGCTGGGAAGCGGCTCAGGGGATTAGCCCGGCCCGGTGGCAAAAATAGCTGGCTCAGGCCGAGCCCCGCCGCCAGGCTCCCGGCGCCGCCGCCCCTCCCGCCGCGGTCCCGCACACCGGGCCATGCCGCGACTGCGGGCCCGGGCCCCGGCTCAGCCCGCACGTGCGGCTCTCGGTGGCGACCTGGCGGGGGGAGAGGCGAACCGCCTGCAGGCGGGACTCACCAGTGCCCGGTGCCGCTATAGGGGCCACCGCGGCCCGTGATCGCCTTCCAGGGCAGCCACGGGGTGAGTGGGGAGACAGGCAAGGACTGGGGAGCCCGAGGGTGACATGGTGAGGGGGATCCGGGAACCCGGGGAGGCCGGGGATGAGCACACTGGGAGCCTGGGGAGACAGGAGGGCTGGGCCGTCCTGGTTGGAGGCAGTGTCTTCCCCCTGGTCAGGGCCAGCTGGGCACGCTGGGCAGCATGCAGGAGATCACAGCCTCTGCTGGGCAAGTACCCACTGTCCCAGTGAAGGGGCCCCGCAGCAGAGCAGTTGTTGAGCCTGCCCCAGCTCTGCCTGTTAGTGGGGTGCTGTGGGTGGCACTGGCCTGAATGAGTGGCTGCTGAGCCTCTGCTCCCTGCCAGGCTGGGGATTGATGGCTGCAGGGCACTGCTCTGCCCCTGGGACCACAGCACTGCTTCCTCCAGGACCAGCTGTCCCCGAGATGTAGTGGCCACTGCTCACCCTAGCCAGGGCAGCAGCTCCATACATCTGGGGGTCTCAGGGTGTACCAGTGAGGAGGAGACAGCAGCAGCACTGGGGCAGTTACCATGCCCCTGTCCCGTCAGCCAGGACTGATCCTGTGCCGTCCTGTTGTGTCTGCAGGCAAAGATGGCTGGGCTCCCGAGAAGGCTGGTGTGACTATCCTGACACGGAAGGGCTCTGGCTGCCATGTCCCCCAGAGCAGGAGCCACAGGCCTGGGGCAGCCAATCCCAGGGCTTCCCTTGAGAGCTGGTCCATCCTCAGGCCCTGCAGACCTATGGGAAGCACAGTTTAACTGCAGCACATGGTTCTGGGACACAGAGCAGTCACAAGCCGCAGCAGAGTATGATGGTAGACATGGTAGGATCTACTGTACCTGGAGAATTCCAGCAGCACTAACTGGTACACAGCCTTTGGAGCTGTGGGGGAGGAACACCCAGAGGAAGCAACCACTGGCTCTTGCCATGGTAACTGCTGCAGCACAGCAGAGCTCCGTGAAGCTGCTGGTCCTCACTTCAACTCACACACAGCATGAGACAGAGCAAGAACAGCCCCTCACTGCTCACTCACCGCCCAGTCAGCACATCCTGGGCAGGAAGAACCGAGCACTGCACATACTACACCATGGTCAGTCACAGCCCACACCAGACTGCAGCACAGCATCCGAGTCCTGTCCCTCCTGGGGAGCGCTAGGTACCAGCCTGCGCTACCAAGAGAAGCGGTGATCCTGTAATGAACTACTCCCAACTGTCCTAACCACACACAACCCACTGGCTGTGAGAAACACCCTCAGCCCTGGCCCTACCTGCACTTGGGTAGAGTAAGTAGTAGCATCCCTCCACTACACTTGGATACTTTCACACCAGCTTAAAAGCACAATGGGACAACTGCTGCTGGTACTACATTCTGGAAGGACTTCTGTTAGCTGAGGAAGAACAAGCTAAAGGCAGAACTGAATATTCAGCAGACTTCTAAAGGCTCAGTGAAGGAAACAAGACACACAGGAGGAGGCTGCTGCCCATGAGGAGCAGAATCCTGGTTTAGGTGCGGCAGGTCCCCGTGGCACAGGGACACTCGGTCTTAAGGGGGTCATTTTATTGTTTCACTTCTCCAAATGTACAAAAAAAAAAAATTAGAAAATAACCCTCCCCCCCACCCCCTCCCAAACCACAACACAGCCCAGGCTGGGAGCCTGCAGCAGCGCAGCTAAGAGACGGCAGGAAATTAAACAGAACTAGATACAGCAGCTGGGGCCCCTTGGCCCACATGGTCACCAACTCTCCACAACCCAGAACTGCCCCAGTCTGCCCAGTGCTTCCCCAATTCACACAGAGCTCATCCCAACAAGATGGCAAGTGGGTACTTTACAAATCCTCCTTCACCTTCTTCTTGGATTTCTTGGTTTTCTCTTCCTCCTGCAGCACAGGAGTGTTGGTTGCCTCCCGCTTCAAGTAGCTAATGAAGTCACTCACTTCTCTGCCACCCTACAGAAAGCACAAGACAATGAGGCAGAGGCTGGACTCCCTGGGGGCTTCTTCACTACAGGACAGTGCAGGTGCAGGGAGGAGAGGGAAGGGATGCCAGCAGAGCTCTCCTGTGGGTCTGCACCAAGCACCACAAGGAGGTGCTGCTGGCTGCAGAGCAGCACCCGCAGCTCCAGAAAGGCCTGGCATCACCTCGGCACCTGGGTGCTGTTTCACTTCTTCGCAAAGCAGCAAAATACTCACCTCGTACTTCTTTGGATTCTGTTTCTTGCCAGCCGGAGCAAAATAGATGGTGGGGAAGCTGGGGAGAGAGAAGAGACACTTGAGCCCCTTGACATGCTCTGTTTTCTTTCAGACCAGCAGGCAAGCCCCCACAGCAGGGACTCACCCCCTGCACTCCCCTGGTTTAACAGCTCAGCACCATACCCAGCAGTGTGGCAAAGAGCCTGGCCATGGCTGCAGAAGAGGCTGAGCTCAGCCCTGTTCATGTCTGCTACCTAAACTGTTTCCAGGAAACCCAGCCCAGCATCATTTTTAAACTG